AAAAAAAAAAAAAAAAAAAAAGACGTTTTTAAAACATAGAGGATTTATATTCAAGGATCTCAAAAAAAAAGGCTTTTCATTTCACTGCACATCTAGCGGGAAGCAGGAGTAGATTTCCTAGTGCGTCCTTTCCTGAACGGTGCTGTTTCTGTGTTGGTCCTTGGCCGGCCCAGCGGGAGCCCCAGCGAGCAGCCGGCGCAGGAGAAACCGGCCTCCTCGGCTGGAGGAGCCCTTTCAGGGAGGCGGAGCTGCGTGGGTTTGCGATGTTTTCAGTTGACTTTAACGAGGGGTTCATTGAAGTCCTGGGTTTCTTAGCATGTCCTGTAGCTGGTTTCTCTTTTCCTTTTGCCCCTCTCTCCCCCGGCCCCCTCTATTAGTTTTTTTTTTTTTTTTTGAGATCCATCCTCTATCAAGAAGTCTGAAGCGACTTTAAAGGTTTTTGAATTCAGATTTAAAAACCAACTTATAAAGCATTGCAACAAGGTTACCTCTATTTTGCCACAAGCGTCTCGGGATTGTGTTTGACTTGTGTCTGTCCAAGAACTTTCCCCCCAAAGATGTGTATAGTTATTGGTTAAAATGACTGTTTTCTCTCTCTCTCTCTCTCTTTCTCTCTCTCTCTGGAAATAAAGAGGAAAAAAAAAAAAGGAAACATTTTTTTTTTGTTTGCTCTTGCATTGCAAAAATTATAAAGTAATTTATTATTTATTGTCGGAAGACTTGCCACTTTTCATGTCATTTGACATTTTTTTTTGTTTGCTGAAGTAAAAAGAAAAAAAGAAGATAAAGGTTGTACCGTGGTCTTTGAATTATATGTCTAATTCTATGTGTTTTGTCATTTTTTTTCTTAAATATGTGAAATCAAAGCGCCATATGTAGGATGATATCTTCAGGACTATTTCACTAATAAACGTTTGGCATAGATAAATAAATACACGCGATGATCCAGGGTCCCTCTTTTATATGTTTACAAGTAAGCCGTTAAAATGTCTGAAATTAAGTGCTGCATGTGAGGGGTAAACGGACGGTCCTGCAGTGTTTCCCTACCGATAGTTGAGGCTGAGCTTGCCGGTTTGCTTTGCAATAGTGGGACCAACCCTGGTGGGAAGCCTTTAGCTCTCAGCTGTAATAATATTACTGGTTTTTGACAATAAGATGCTGTCCTCCTGCCGGCCCCCCACCTTTCCTTCCTCCTGTCTCTTTTCTTGCCCTCTCCCCCC